TGAAGAAATGGCACCCAACAAAGATTGGATCGAATTATTTAATGATCGGCTAAATGAGACATATTTGCAAGGAATTAAAACATTTTTAGATTATGCATTTCAAAGGACAGGAGAAAAGTTTGAAATTAGATGTCCATGTGTCAAATGTTGCAATACGTATTCGAAGAGTCGATCGTGAGGTAGTTGAATCGCATTTGAAAGTATATGGGATGATGACAAACTACACCTTTTGGTATCATCATGGAGAAAGGTTAGGAGAACTTGAATCTGATGCTTATGGCGATGCTAATAGCGACTCTGAAGATGACATTGATGGCGAGGTGCAAGAAATAATAGAAGACTTTTTCCCTCATAGTGACAAGTATACCGAAGGAGCTGATATCATTGAAGAGGAGCCAAATGATGAAGCAAAAAAATTTTATAGGTTGTTGCATGATTCCCAGCAGCCTGTATATGAAGGATGCAAGTCCGCAAAGTTGTCAATTTTGGTAAGGTTGCTTCACATCAAGAGTATTGGGAAATGGAGTAATGAGTCCTTTACAATGCTCTTAAAACTCCTTAATGAGGATCTACTTCCTAAAGCATCTAATTTACCGAATTCTTATTATGAGGCAAAGAAGACAATTAAAGATCTTGGTCTTTCTTATCAAAAGATAGATGCTTGTGGAAATGATTGCATGTTATATTGGAAGGATGATGAAGAGGCTGAATTTTGTAAAGTATGTGGTGACTCGAGATGGGAAAATGATAAGCGTAGTGGTGAGTGCAAGTATAAAGCAAATGGTAAGAAAATACCAAAAAAGACATTACGATATTTTCCATTAACACCTCGGCTCCAGAGATTGTTCATGTCTAAAAAGACATCGTCTTTGATGAGATGGCATCACAATAGAAGAAAAGTTGATGATGGTGCAACTATGACTCATCCAGCTGACTCAAGAGCATGGAAGCATTTCAATGAGTTGCATAAATCATTTTCTGCAAGTCCGTGCAATGTCAGACTTGGTCTTGCCACTGATGGGTTTCAACCATTTGCTAATTCAAAGAATTCTTATAGTATTTGGCCAGTAATTCTTGTTCCATATAATCTGCCTCCTTGGATGTGCATTGATCAATCAAATTTAATTTTATCAATGCTCATTCCTGGTCCTGAAAGTCCAGGGGATGCAATTGATGTTTATCTCCAACCATTGATAGAAGAGCTTAAAGTCTTATGGGAAACCGGAGCTGAAACATATGATGTTTCTAGAAAAATAAACTTCCAATTGCATGCCGCCTTATTGTGGACAATAAATGATTTTCCAGCATATGCCAATTTATCTGGATGGAGCACCAAAGGAAGATTAGCTTGTCCTTCTTGTAATAAAGACACTTCATGGACTAGATTACCTAATTGGTCCAAGCAATGCTACATGGGACATCGTCGTTGGCTTCCCAGAGATCATAAATGGCGAAACGATAAGAAGTCATTTGATGGCACGAAAGAGATAAGAGTGCAACCAAAACCTATTTCAGGTCATGACATACTTGAGCAAGTGAAAGACCTTGATGGATTGGTTTTGACAAAGGATGCAAGTAAAAAGGTGAAAATTTCTCACAAGAAAAGAGGAGATAATTGGAATAAGAAGAGCATATTTTTTGAACTTCCGTATTGGGAAACTTTGTTGTTACGACATAATTTGGATGTTATGCACATCGAAAAGAACATTTGTGATAATATTTTGGGTACTCTCATGAATATGAAAGGGAAGACAAAAGATAATCTTCAAACTCGGCTTGATTTGCAAGCAATGAACATAAGACCAGAACTGCACCCAACCAAAGAAGGTGATACATATACATACCGAGTGGCATCTTATGTATTGTCAGATGAAGAGAAGCACAAATTCTGCCTATTCTTGAAGCAACTAAAAGTTCCAGATGGGTATTCATCTAATATCTCACATAGTGTCAATCTTAAAGATCACAAGATTTCAGGCTTAAAGAGTCATGATTGCCATGTCATATTACAAAACTTGCTTCCTCTCGCAATTCGTGGTCTACTGCCTAAAGCTGTTTTTGAACCACCTTTTGAGCTTTCCCTGTTTTTTAATACTCTATGTGCTAAAGTGTTAAAGGTTGATGATCTAGAAAAAATTCAAGCTCAAATTCCTATAACCTTATGCAAGCTGGAGAAAATATTTCCACCTTCTTTTTTTGATATCATGGTGCATTTGCCCATTCATTTAGCTCTTGAAGCACTTCACTGTGGACCGGTTCAGTTCAGGTGGATGTATTTTGTAGAAAGAACAATGTTTGTGTTGAAGTCCCTGATCCGTAATTCTGCTCGTCCAGAAGGTTCAATCGCAGAAGGTTATATAGCTACTGAGTGCATGACCTTTTGCTCACGGTATTTAAAAGGCATGAAAACTAAGTTCAATCATTCTGAGCGCAATTTCGATGGTGGTTTGGATGAGTTTAATGGTGGTTTGAAAATATTTAATCATCCCGGGAGATTATTAGGGGCAGGCAGACAATGTCATTTGGACCCAAATGAGCTTGAGCAGGCCCATCTCTATGTTCTGAAAAACTGTGATGCAGTACAATCCTTTCTTGAGTAAGCACTGCCCTATCATCTTGAATGTATTATCCAACTGTTTTAATACAATTTAGTAACAATTAATTTCTTTTTATTTTATAGAGAATATTCGCAAAGTGAAGCACTTTCCTCACAAAAGTCTTTCAGATCAAGAATGGGATAGTCAGTTCATTGAATGGTTTAAGACCAGAGTAAGTACACCCCTAGAAATTTCTTCACCTTATTATAATCTTTAATTTGGTTAGAGTAAGCATTAAGCTTTATTTGTTTTGACATAGGTGTCTGAAATGCATAAAAGTGATCAAAGCGAAGAAATCAAAGACTTGCTTGCACTATCTCGTGGTCCTACCCAATATGTAACAAGTTATAAAGGTTACATTTGCAACGGATACAGATTTCATATAGAGGAACATGATAAAGGTTTAAGGACTCAGAATAGTGGTGTGATTGTAGTAGGAGAAAATGGAATTGATGATGAGAGCATTGATTACTATGGGGTGCTCGTTGAGGTTCTTGAATTGCAATATCTTAGAGGAAAACGAGTTGTTTTATTTCGTTGTAAATGGTGGGATGTATATGATAGACAAAGAGGAGTGAAAATAGATGAATATGGGATTGTCAGTGTTAATTTTCATCGTATTCTAAACACGAATGAGCCCTTTGTCTTGGCTAGCCAAGTTTCCCAGGTTTTCTATGCCATTGATAATAATAACAAGGGTTGGCATGTTGTGAGGAAAGTACAACCCCGTGATACATATTCAATGCCATTGGAAATGGAAGATGATGTTGAAAACCTAGACCATTTAAATGCAGCAGTTCAAGATGCTGAATCATCTTCTCCCTGTTTTGTTCCGACAACTATGTCTAATACCGAAGGTCAAATTAGTTTGGTAAGATGCGATATGGAGCCAATCTCAACCAGTGAAAGTGCACCAAAACAGACAAAAAAAACGAAAAAAAAAATTGCTTTAGTACAGGTCTTGTTTTCTAGTGAATACTTTCATAAATAGTTAATTTTTTTTTTACTTTTTGTTGATTTGTGTGTTAGTAGAATGCATCCTGTAATAACACTAATAGTAAAGGTTATAACGTTTGATATTTTTCAGGTCAGAATGAATTTAAATAGGCTTGGGATTGCAAAGTCGACAAAGCCAAAATTCATTAAACCGGGAATGTTGGGTAGGGGGCTTGGACAAGGACTAAGTCCAATGCTCTCTAATAACACTATGATGCCTTCAAAGTTTGCTACAATGCATGAAAGTGGCAATTTGGAATCCGGTATAATATTGTTTTTGATTATACTACTTTATATGACATTTTGCTTCTTTTAAATTACAAAAACTTGCTTTACTTTTTAATATTGTTACTGCATTTATGGTGCTTTTAAGAGCGCTTTAATAATGCTTACAGTGGGTGCTATTAAGGCGTAATTTAAAAATACTGGTTTCCTACTCGTTTGTTTATGGACATATAAATTCTGCTTGTAAGATGCTCTTTTGCTTCTTTTAGGTGGAGGGCTTGGACAAGGACTAAGTCCAATGCTCTCTAATAACACTATGATGCCTTCAAAGTTTGCTACAATGCATGAAAGTGGCAATTTGGAATCCGGTATAATATTGTTTTTTATTATACTACTTTATATGACATTTTGCTTCTTTTAAATTACAAAAACTTGCTTTACTTTTTAATATTGTTACTGCATTTATGGTGCTTTTAAGAGCGCTTTAATAATGCTTACAGTGGGTCCTATTAAGGCCTAATTTAAAAATACTGGTTTCCTACTCGTTTGTTTATGGACATATAAATTCTGCTTTTAAGATGCTCTTTTGCTTCTTGTAGGTGGAGGGCTTGGACAAGGACCAAGTCCAATGCTCTCTAATAACACTATGATGCCTTCAAAGTTTGCTACAATGCATGAGAGTGGCAATTTGGAATCCGGTATAGTATTGTTTTTTATTATACTACTTTATATGACATGTTTATATATATAATATGCACGTATTACAGTTTGTCCAGTTCTTTGTTGGATCTTTCATACACTTCATTCACATTAAACTCATTTTGATATACTACATTATCTCCCTACGATTATATATAATATGCACGTATTACAGTTTTTCTCCCTTATATATAGGTGTGTGTGTATTAAAGTTTTGTATATAACTATCTAATTCAATTTGTATATTGCATGGACCAAGTGAAAAGGAAAAAAACTGATAAGGAACATGCTGAAGATGGTAGAAAAGGACCGAACAACTTGAATGACGTGTCTAGAGGTGGTGATGTGACCTTTTTCTGTTTTGTTATATCAGTGAAATTTGGTATAATTGAGAGTACTAATATTGTCTTTATGCCGCTTTTAACAACAACTCATTTTTCTGTTGTGCTGGCTTTATCCATGTTAGGAGGCGGACTTGGAATGCCTTCACGTAACTATACTATGGATATAGATGCCTCATTTTATGAAAACGATGATTGGGAATGTGGTAAGTTGAAGAAATTCTGCACCTGCAGTTCCTTATAAAATAATTGCCAAGTGACTTGTTGTTTTTCTTAAATTGGTTTCTCAATATTTAGATAGCATGGATCAGATGAAAAGGAAAAAAACAAACAAGGATCACAATGAAGATGGTAGAAAAGGACTGAACAGTTTGAATGGCGTGCCCAGAGGTACTACTTGACAAGCTGCTTCTATTAGATCATTTAAATTTGATGTGGTGAAAAAAGGTACTGTTTTTGTACGGCTTTTATATTAGGCCTATTAAGTAACTGAATTGAAGGGGTAGTACTTTTACAGAACTGAATTGAACTTCATAGTTCTTTTTCCTGAAAACATTTTAGTTCCACAACATTCAGTATTCCATGACCTTGGTTATAGGCTGGAATAGAAGACAAAAGAAAAACTTTAAATGGGCTATCAAACTTATTAACCCACTGACAGAATTGAGTAAGATGAGATGGTTGAGATCTCCGGACCAAATATTAGAGTTCTTTGGAGGATATGATATACTTGTGGAATGTTTTTGTTATCCGGGATGTGGTATTGTACTAGTTATATATAGTTAATATATAAAGATTTATTGACTAGTGAAATAATATTGTGAAATTAGGTAGAGGCCGTGGACAAGGGCTACGATCGGTGCTCTCTCACAACACTAATATGAATGGGGCACGGGCAGAAGATTTCAGAAAAGGATACCAGAACACTATAAATAGTTCTAATGGAGCTCAAAAAGAACCAATGCATCAAAGGCATGAAAATATCACATCAGATTCTGGTACTCATACTTGTAATTTTGTATTATTTATCTCTTATTTTAGTTTGAATCTGGATCAGTTCTAATGATGTTTTTGTAAAGGTGATTTCACCTCCCACACAGTTGTTCTATGCTTTGGAGAAGCGGAATACCGTGAAAAGAATTTTAGTGAAGATAGTTGTTTGCTGGATATTTTGGCGATGTGTCATAAGCTTGTTGATATCTATTCTGTTGGGATAAAAATAACTGATGGAAATGGGAGGCCACTCAAATGTGATCAAGATGTTGCCAATATGCTTAAGGAACATCAGGGGTTGGAAAATATAATCATTAATCTATACAAGGATGACACGGTTCAACCTTTATCTTATAAGTTGCCACAACATAACACTGCGCTTAGTAATACTCATTTTATTTTTTAAATATCAACTTTGTTTATTATATCTTTCTTTTAAGTTTATTTATCACTTTTTTTTGTCTTAACCATTACAGCTAATCAATCATTGAATCAGTCTAATGATATGCCAAAAGAAGCTCATGTTGTGCATAATACATCATTGTCTAGTGAAAAGGCTAAAGGTAGTGACCTAAAAATGTTGTCTTATTATTATAGTTTGTTGTTATCCTCATACAATATATGATATGTGTGTGTTTGTGTGTGTACATGTAATATTTATTTACAGGTTCAGTTGGCAAAAATAAAACAAAGAAGGTAAGAGGAATAAATAAATGTAAAGAAGTGGCCAATTTGAAAAAGGGGGAGAAACTCAAAGTCAGATTTTATAACAAACGTGTTGCTGGAGAAAATCATAAATCTTTTTCGAGGCATTTAGGAAAAATAATTCGCAACCGTCAATTTTGTCCATTAACGGTGACCGAATGGGCAAATATCGATGAAGACAAGAAAGACCACATGTGGGCTGCCGTAACGGTAAGAATATGAATTCATTTGTTTAGGATGTGTGTACTGAATGATAATTTCTAGTATGCTTGGATTTTGGGTGCCGCAAAATGTTGGGTTTAATTCCAATTTAAATTATTTCAGGAAGTATTTGAGGGTTTTGATCTTTTGGATCGCCGAGATGATGTTCTTTCACACATGCGGGAGTTATGGAACAAATGGAGAGGATGGATGCATTTTAAATATGTGAAAAAGCGGACACCACTTGAAGCATTGAAAAAGGTTCCTCCTGGTGTAACTAAGGAAGATTGGGGATGGCTAATTAAAAATTATTATTTTACTCCAGAATATAAGGTATGTACTCCAATTAGCGTTTCTTATTTCTCTGAATTTGCTAATTAATTTCCTGAATTCTTCATGTGATTAGTGATGAATTTTAGTGTTTTGTTGATATTTTCGTATTTATATTTAATTAATGTAACATCATATTTTGAAGAATAATTCAAAACTAATAACTACGGACTACACTGCAAGACTTTAAGGAAATGCCAGATATGGTACCACATTCTAATACTCCTCAGGTTATGAAACATCCTGATCACCAGGCGATTAAATGTCATGATAGTAAGGCAATTGTAGCAATTTAAATAACACATAAGCTAGAGAAAAGTCATACACCCTCCCTCCATACCCCAAAGAAGTCTTAATCTAATCAAAGTACACCTTTTTTAGTAGGATACAACAACTCTTGGAAACTAAAGTTCTAGTTACACTATTAACTACGAAGTAATAACTACAAAGTATTTCCTTGCACCATTACCAAGTGCAGCAGAATGAACTGTTTGAAATTTCTCTAAGTCTGGGTCAGGAGTATATATGTTTGGATCACTGAATTTTTGTTGTTTTGAAATGTGTTTATGACAAGGAATATTGATTACTTAATTATATTGTGTAAATACAGGCAAAAAGTGAGAGAGGTTCGAAAAATAGAAGTCGTTTGACAATGCTACATCGTATGGGTAGCAAGCCTATCAGAGAGCTTATTTTTCAAATGGTATGTTTGGACTAAATATACGATATCAAGATGAAGAGAAAAACAATGATTTGTAGTTAATGAATATAACTAATTGCTTTTTTATGTTCAGATTAAATGTCTTGGTTCTAGTGTACCTATATATACAAATGTTGCAGATTGTCTTTAATGTAGAGGCTGTTTTCACCAATCCTTTATTTCATAATGTTTCTTGTTTTGATATGTGATAAACGTCATTACTCTTGCCAAGTTTTAGCATGTTCATACCGAGTTTAATAGTTAATATTATCGTGTGCTTTTTACATTTGAAGGGGGGGAAAGATGACAATCCGCCGAATATGGATGTTATATTTTATGAAACCCGCAAGAAGAAGGGTCAACTTGTGGAACCGGAAACAATTAAGAAATATGTGAGCACAGTTTCAATGTCCTGCTGTTTTTTTATTTTATAATTTTTCAGTTTTATGTAACCCATTGATTAATTGTTTAGGAAGAAATACATGAAGTGGTTCAATCAAATCCATCTTTGCCACATGTCGATGTAATTGAAAAGTGCTTTGGACCGCAACAACGTAGTCATGTCATTTGTTTTGGAGGTGGAGTGAGCCGCAAAGATTTAAAGGGGCCTTCTTCTAAAAAGAGTGAACTTGAGGCTAGGTTGCAGGTAGCTGAAGAAGAAAATCGGAGCATGAAAGAAGAAAACGAGAGCATGAAAAGTCGCCTAAGTACATTAGAAGATGAATTCCAAAAGCTTAAAGAGATGTTTCAAGGTCAAGGAAGCAAAGTTTAAGTATTCCAAGAACTTCCTTTTGTCCCGTTTAATGAAGTATTCCAGGAGTCGGAGTTTCTAAGAGACGTTTTATAGCTAGTCTACGAATTGGATGGTATCTACGTATTGGTATCTATGAATCTATGATACATTGTGATGGGGCATGGATGATAGATTTTTTTTTTAAATGAGGATATTAGTTTTGTTTTGAACCTGGATTCCTGGAATGATGTTATGTTTATAGATTTATATCAGTTTTCAACTTACTAATACGTATGATGATATGCTTTGGATCATACATTTGCTATATAAAATTAATATGTTATGTTGGGCATACATAAACTCAACATATTAATTTGGAATAAAAAAAAGAAGGGGAAATGGTCTCAAATGCGCTAATCAAGTTGTCGCAAATAATAATCATGGATTGAATAAATTAAATTTAGCGAAGGGATAACGGTCGCAATTAGTCTTAGGAAGTGGTCTCTAATAATACCATTAGCGACTGCATTTTTTGCGGTCCCAAAAACTTTTTGCGACAGAACGGTCTTCCCGGTCGCAGAATATCATTTGCGGCCAAGCCTACTACGACTGCCACACGACCACATTTTCCGGTCGCAATTACCAATCAGCGACCAGTTTTTAGGTTTTTGCGACCACTTTTCCCTTCGCAAATAGAGCATTTTCTTGTAGTGTAGATTCGTCTCGTCGAGACGAGAAATCTTGTATTTTTGGGGAATTTTTTGGCCACCGGAAGAGGCCGTACGCGCCGCCCAAAAGCGCCGGAAAACTGTCTGCGTCATCATTGCGTCATCACGCAGTCCAGAGGAAGAAGACGAACCACGTCAGCGCCACGTAAGCGCCACGTCAGTCCACGTAAGCGCCACATCATCCGCCACGTCAGCCGTGCAAGCCATCCTCTGGGTGCCACGTCAGCGCCACGTCAGCGCCGCGTCAGTGACACGTGGCGCCACGTCAGTGCCAACACAGTCCAACTGTTGCCACGTCATCCACCTGCTGGTCTGCCCACTGGTTTGCTGCTTGAACCGGACCGAACCGGTTCAAAGTTGTGGAGGCCGGTTCACCCATTTCCAGACCGGTTTTGGACGAGGTCAGACCGGTTCCTACCATTTTTGGCCATTCCGGATCCAACGATGAGCTCCGTTTGTCCAAGTTCGGCTCCGAAAATAAGGTACGAGATATTTTGAGCGTTTTATTATGGATAAATCATCATCGGACATCATGATTGCGCTCACTTCCACAAATTACAATATGTGGAAGCCTCGGATGGAGGATTTGCTAAATTTGAGGGATTTAGCCGATCCTCTTGATAATAATGGCGTGAAACCGGATAAAAAGACGGATGAAGAATGGACAAAAATGAATAGAAAAATTGTCGCACAAATTTGACAGTGGATCGATCATAGTGTGGTCCACCATGTTGCGCAAGTACAAAGTGCTTACACACTATGGGAGAAGCTTGGTAGCATGTATCAAGCGAAAACCGCACGAAATAAGACTTTACTAATGAGGCGATTAGTAAACCACAAATTACGGGGAGGTATTTCGGTGTCAGAACAATCCAGTCAATTCCAGGATCTTGTGAATCAGTTGAGCACCACCGGCTGGGTTCTCAAAGATGAAGAGCAGGCGATACTACTCTTGAGCTCTCTACCTGACAACTGGGAGACTCTTGTTGTCACTCTCAACAATTCTGCTCCCAATGGCAAGGTGACTATGCAGATGGTCACAGATGCCCTTATGAATGAAGAAGCCCGAAGAAAAGAAGCCGGGACTGAACAATCATATGCCTTCGTGTCAGAAACCAGCAGACGAGGGGGGAGGCAGAGATGGAGGAAGAACTTGAGGTCGAGGTAGAGGCCAAGGTCAAAACAGATGAAATTCTCAAGTTCGCGGCCGATCACAAGAACGAGGTATGTCCTGTGAAAACAATACTTGGTTTGAAGGATATTGCAACTATTGTGGTAATTATGGGCATAGAAAAAGAGATTGTAGAAAGTTTCTACGAGAGCTGCCACAGACGAGTCAAAATACTAGCCAAGAAGATGGTGTGACTATGGTTAGTTTGTCATCAGATGCGTGTCTTGTTACACATGGTGAACAAGAATGTTTACACGTAGGTACTCATGAAGTTGAGTGGGTGATTGATACAGCCGCATCATTTCACGCTACTCCACACCAGAACTTATTCACATCTTATAAGTCAGGAGACTTTGGAGCTGTGAAGATGGGAAACACGAGTTTCTCGAAGATTGTTGGCATTGGTGATGTGCACATAACAACCAATGTCGGATGTGCACTTGTGTTGAAAGATGTTCGACACGTTTCGGATCTTAGATTAAATCTCATCTCCGGTACAGCTCTGGATCAGCTAGGATATCTTAACCGATTCAAAGAAGGTATATGGAAGTTATCTAAAGGTTCCTTGGTTATTGCAAGAGGCCATATTTGTGGTACTCTGTATAAGACTCATGCAAAGTTGTGTCATCCGAGTCTCAATGCTGTTGAAGAAGAGATATCACCAAACTTGTGGCACCGGAGGCTAGGCCACTTGAGCGTGAAGGGATTGGCAACTCTTGCAAAGAAGGAAGTCATTTCCATGGGCAAAGATGTTGCCCTAGATCCATGTGAGCATTGTCTATTCGGGAAACAACACAGAGTTTCC